TACTATTTGCTGTATATATCTGGGTGGTTCAGTGTTGGCTTATGTGTATTATAATTCTTATATCTCTTGTTGAATGATCCCTTATCATATATATGCTCTTTTTTTTCTTTTTCTTTGTTTGCCTTAATGCTGTTTTACTTTATATAAATACAGCTACTCCTGCTCGACTTTGGTTACTATTTGTGTAAGATATCTTTTCCATCCCTTCACTTTCAATCTATATCTTATTACAGGTGAGTTTCTTGTAGCCTGAATATAGTGGGTCATTTTTTAAAATTCAGCCAGTCTATATTTTTAAATGGTAATTTAATCCATTTACATTTAGATTATTATTAATAAATAGATTTATTCCTGTCATTTTGTTAATTGTTTTGATTATCTGTATTTCTTTGTTTTTCCCTCTTATTATATTGCCTGCTGATTTACTTTTTCTTAGTTGTATCATTTGACTTCTTCTCTCCCTTCTCATTTGGTGTGTTCTGCTCACTACAGTGCGGGGGGGGATTTAACTTTTTGTCGTTTCTTTCGTTTATGGTAGAATATTGGTCTTTCACTTCTAGATGTGGATCTCCTTTAAGGATTTCCTTGTAGCCACTAGTTAAGTGTGATAGATTCCGTCAATTTTTATGTGTCTGAGAAGACTTTTATTTCATTTTTGAAGGATTTTTGTTCGGGTATTTTAAGTATTCTTGGCCAGAGTTGTTTTGTGTTCAGCACTTTGGAATATATCATCACATCTCTCATGGCTTGTAAGTTTCTACTGAGACAAATAACTTGTTACTCTGATGGGATTCCTTATATTGACGTCGATTCTTTTTCTGTTCATGAGATTCTCTTTTTTTTGACTTTTGCTTTTGGACTACAATGTGCCCTTAGAGAAGAACTTCTTGGATTGGAGTCTACTAGGTGATTTTAGTTTTCTGTATCAGATGTGTAATCTTTTGTATGATTGGTGAGGTTTTAGCTATTATTTCATTATAGGTTTAATAGGTATTTCTGTTTTTCTATGCCTTTGGCCATTTCTTCTCCTGAATCCTTCCAAATTGAGTATATTGTTGGCTTTTTGATGATCCAATATATCATCTATACTTTTCTTCTTATTTCTTTTTTTTCAATCTGACTGGGTTTTCAAAATTTGATCTGCCAAATTAGTTATTCTTTTCTATCTTGGATCTAGTCTTTTGAAGCTCTTATTGTATTTTTTATTAAATTTATTGAAAATTTATTAGTTCTAGGATTTGTTGGTTGTTTTATGATATATATCTTCTGTGAATTTCCTCCATTCAGACATGAATTATTTTCCTGATTCTTTGTTTGTTTATCTGTGTTCTTTTTATCCCCTCGAGTTTCCTTAAGTTTATTGTTTTGCATTCTTTTAGTGCTTTTAATAGATTTTTTTGTTTGAGATGTTACTAAGAATTACTGTTCATGTTGTCCTAGTTCTTGCTTTTAATGTTCTTGTGTACTTACGATTGATATCCGATGCCATTGGCTTGTAATCATCTTCTTCTCTGATTGGCTTCATACGAAAGAGTTTTTTTCTATAGGTTGTATCTCTAGTGTTGATTCATTGGTGCTTCGCTTTTATTCATGGGGGATGTAGTAGTGTAAAATGATTTCTGTATGATTTCTTCAGTTGTAATCAATATCAAGTTCGTGAGTTTCCCAGTGAATTAGGATCTCTGAGTTACTGGAGGCTGTAGCAAGGCTTTGTTGGGGATAAGGTCACTAGGGTACGGTCAACCGTTCCCACCAGGGGTGGCCAAGATTCCAGGCCCCTTGGGGTTTTGGGAAATGGGGTCCCCCCCTCCCAAGGCCCCTTGGGGCAAAGTGGTGGCAAATGAAACCCAACCCAGCAGTTGGGGGTAAAGGTAAAAAAAGCAAAAGGTGGGGTGGGGGGGGTTTTTTTCCAAAGACCCTTTTAAATGAAACCCCGGGGTGGGGTTTTTTTTTTTTTTTTTTTTTTTTTTTTTCCCCATTTTGTTTGGGAACACCCCCCCCAGTGGGGTAGTGGGGGCAAAAGTTTGGCTTGGGGTTTTTTTGCCCCAGTCCCCCCCAAGGGGGCCCCCCCTTCTTGTTTTTTTTTTTTGGGCCACAAAAACAATGAAGGTTAAGGGTTGGGGTGGTGGGGCAAAAGGGGCCCAGGTGGGCCCCTTTTTGGTCCTTTTTTGGGGACCCCAGGGAAGGCAAAACAAAGGGTTTTACCCAGTGGTATTTTGTGGGTTGGGGGGGGGTGGAAAACCACAATAATTCAAAGGAAACCCCCAGTGCTAAACCAATGGTGGGGGGGCCAAAACCAGTGGGTTGCTTGGGAAAGGGGTTTTTTGAACCCTTGCCCAATTCAGATTTTCCCCAGGGAAGTTTTGGTTTTTTTTTGAAAAAGTGGGCCCTCCCCCAAAAAAAAAAGGGGCTAAAACTGAAGGCACAAGGTGTGAGTATGTGGGCGGCCCCCTGTTTTGCTTTTTGGGAAAAATTGCAATCCAAACCGTTTTTTTGGTGTCAGTGGCCAAGCAAAAAGCCCCCCAGGGCAAGGCCCCCCCCTTACCTCCTTTTAGGCTTTTGGCAAAAGCATGGTTTTGGCTTTCCAGTTTCCCTTTCCCCCTTTTTTTGGTTTTTTTTTTCCCCCAGGGCCACCTTTCCCCTTCTTTGTGGCTTCAAACTGGCCTGGTTTTTTTTTTCCCCTTTAAGAATGTTAGGACCAAAAATTTGAAAATGGGGCCCTAAAAGAAAATGCTTTTTTTGGGGGAACCCTCAGCCCACCCAACCACCCTTTGTTTTCCCAGCTGGGGTTGGGTTGCAGTGGGGGCTGTAAGCCCCCCCCAAAGGGGGGTTTGGGAACACTGAGGGAATGTCAAAAGTGGGGGCTTTTTTTTTTCCCAGGGATGGGTACAGGATTTTTGCAAAAGGGGCCCCTGTTGGGCCTTTTTTCCATGAACAACAGTTTTGCCTGGCCACGGGGGGCAAGGGCCTCTTTTTTCAAAAAAAAGAATGGTATCCAATGTTGCCCTCTGTCCTTTGGGTCCCTCTGGTGCAAAAAGTAGGAAAAATTCCCCCAAGTGGGGTGAAATTTTCCGTTCCCTTCCTTTGGGAAAAACAGTTTTTTTTTTTTTTTTAAGGTTGTGGGGTGGGAAGGTTTTTTTCAGGCCCAGCCTCCCTGGTCGTAGGCTTTCAAGCTTGGGTGGGGGCCTTGCAAGGGGGGCCCTTCTCGTTTTTTTTTGTGGTTAGTAACTGCCAGGCATCTCTTGGCCTTGGGAAAGTGGGAACCGTTTTTGGCCAAATCTTTCTTCAACCTTTATTACCTTTTTTTTTTTTTTCCTTGCAAAGGTGGGGGAAATTTCCTTCTTTGGCTTTTCTTTAAGCAGTCCCCAAAAGCTTAGACTTGCCCTTTTTTGCCCTTTTCTTTTACTTTCCCTCTGTTTTTTTTGTTTGCATTTAGAGATTCCCC